TTCCAAAATAAAATTAAATAAAACTCTTTAAGCTAGTTGGTGTGTTATGTAGGTGAACTGATGAATTTTTATTGTAAAAGTTGCTGACAGAAGTACATCTCAGAATTCTTTCAAACCAATTGACGCAGTTTTGCCAGGATCTCCATCCAATTTTTATGGTTCAGTGATAACCAACTTTTATAGCTGGTGGATAATATGTAAATACCCAATTCGGTATTCCAAATCCCAAAGATATTTCTGAAAATGTCCCAAAGACTATACCAATTTTTCAAAATTCAGTATTTGTTTCAAAAGTTGATTTTTATTTAATGGCCAAACTAATTGTTGTAGACTTCATATTTTTAAATCATCAGAAAGATCTAAAAAATAGTCTTTCAAGCCTTTTCAGAATTTTAAATATAATTTATCAATATTCAATAGTATTTACAGTCAAAAGTCGTTAATTCGGACACCCATAATCTGGAATGATCTGTAATCCGGACCTCAAAGCTAAAATCTTTCTGCGTATGTGCCGCGTTGACGCATGCTCATAGGCGTTTTACGCGTGCGCGCAAGACATTTACGACTGTGCATATGCGTCTGCGCAAGCAGAATACGTTTTCGTGTGGGCGTTTAATGTATAACGGACGGTATAAGCTAAAATGATCTAATTATCTATTTCAGTTAATGTTGATGATTGCGTTGTTCCTTAATCTTCGAATTGGATCCTCCTTATTATTTTTTGCAGACTGTAAGAGCAATTTTATAAAAGTAAACTTGAACTTTCGATTATGTCAAATAGAATTTCCGATGCTGGAGCTCCCAAAGGATCTAGAAAACGAAAGTATGTTTCGATGTCCATCAAACAAAAAACGAATTGCTACAAAAAATGGATAAAGGTATATCCTTTGTTTATCTAACCGTTCCGAAATCTGTTTATCAATTTCACGCTGCTCTGTGCAGGGTGGGGGACGTCGCGGCGCGCAATGAACTGGAAGTTGATATGTCAGCACTATCGTTATCTTGAGGGCAGATGTTTTTATTTTATTCGGCTTATAATTCCTTACTAAATGTACTATTTAATCTCGATGTGCTCCGTCTTTGATATGATTTAAATCAAATTCCTCATCATTATAAATATCACGAATACAAATCAAATAGTTTTCTGGTTGCAATTTTCTAATTTCGGCTATGCGTAAGGTATGCTTTACGCATGTGCGCGTTAAAAGAAATGTTTAATAAAGTAAACAAATAAATATTAAGCTTCTTTTTTTGTAAATTTTGATACCCTTTAGATCATAATTGCTCATTATTTTATAAATTACGGTTTCATATTTTTAATTTTATAATTTCTGCATGCCATCTTACCAGATTTAAACTGATGATCTATAATCCGGAAAAATCGATCATCCGGAATCGCCGAAGTCCCGATGAGTCCGGATTAAAGACTTTTGACTGTATTTATTTTTCCATTTTTAGCTATCACGCAGTTTAACTGTAATGAATTTTTAAGTGAAAAGATATAATCTCTCATAGTACTGAGTGCCATGATTCATATTGGATTGATTCAAATAACATTGGATTTTCAAATCAAATAGAAATTTAAATGAGTTGAAAGTAATATCCGATTAGAAGAAACAATTTTCTTACATCCAAAGGGAGTGATTTCAATGGTGAAGAAGTATTTTTTTCTGTATTAACTTCTTAATTGGTTTCCAGACATTGACAGTTTCGAATGTATGTAACATCTAATTAGGTGGTATTAAGAAGCACAATGTTTATTTTTACCTATTAATTAATAAAATAATACATAATTGGAGATAATATAAATTGTACATAGTTTTATTTATATTAATAATGTAAATACAGGGGAATATCATAGATTTTTGGCTTGCATCACATAAATATGAACACGTACATACAAACAAAAAAGCATGTTGTTATATCTTTTTTTTTTATAAATACAAGTAAACAACCAGAAAAATAAAACTAAAATGGCACTTATATATGCTATATACCTGCCTCTTTCAAAACAGTTTATCACATTGTAGGATCCACTTGTCTAATTTTTAAATGAGAATTGTACATGTAGTAAGTTCTGGTAGGAACTACACAGAAGAAGGGTTAAAAGTACCCTTCATTAAACTCTTTAAAATTTACAATGCGTCAACTCAACGATAACACACTACCTCCCTTGAACAGTAACTGAAATCACAGAACTAAACTAAAAATTTGAAAATATGCACAAGTAGTAGAACTAAGCTACAGGGCTCAGATATTCCTGTTTCTTAAGCTTGCATCCAAACTAGTGGCAGCAAGTAAATGCAGTTTCTTTTCTACGTAAATCAGCAATAACTCTGGGAGTAGAAGCTCATGCTACAGAGGTAACGGCAGTAGCCTAACTCTCTTTAACTTTCCTTCTGAACCTTAATTTTTAAACTCTTTCTTCAGAAGGTAGAATTGCATTCCTTCATGTGTGCTATCGAATTTAAATATTATCGCATTGATCATTAGGGGAATGAAGGCTTTCTTTTACGTATTTCATTGCCTGTCCATTTTCAGACTTTTTTTTTTTTTTAATAAGGCTTCAATTTATATTTTGGAAATAAAATATATGCTAAAAAGGGACTGGTGATGATGTTTGTTCATATATGTTTTATATAATTTTATGCATACTTTATCAAAATTTTTAAATTGTTTTCAAGATGTTTCCAGACTTTAACAGCTTCAATAATACTTTTGAATTTTATCAAGAGAAACTGAAATTAACTTTATATGAAGTAAGAGATTTTATACATTTTATTTGACTCTATATTCAGAACATTTGACTGACAATTCTTGTGTGTTGCAGGTCAGTTTTCTTTCAGAGTTCATATGGAGACTGACGTGTTTTTTATATAGTTTACAAGGAAATTATGTATTTAGATAAGCTGGTGGTTTTGAAAATATTTTATGACTTCAATAACGTGGTCAGTAACACAGGATATATTTAAACCTTTGGCCAATATAGTATTTATACAGTTTTGAGAATGTGCAGAACAACCATGAACTATAAGTTTAAAATTGTTTTTACAATTCTGTATTTGTAGCTTTATTAATTATAAAACTGTAAATTTTATTTTTACCTTTGTTTCCAACCTTTTGAATGGCTTCAGCAGTAAAGGATGAGTAAATTTTCACTTGTAGGTAGTGTTAATGACGTATCAGTTTTGATTAGACATACAGTTCCATATAGAAACATCTACAAAGAATATTGATTGATTTTGGATGTTAGACAAACTGTCTAGCATTTTACATACTGTGGGATTAATGAAAACATTATTACATTTCTGTATTAATTCTTCATACAGATCATTTAATAATTTACCACTGAAGTTGCTTCCGGATGGAAGCTTTTTTGTAGCATGCAGTAACTCTATTAATTTTATCACATGAGAGTTTTAAACTGCAAAATAATGCAGTTCATAAAACATAAAAATTTATATTTTATGGTCTGTTTTTGACTTTTGAGAAGGATGTTTTTACAACGTATTTACTTAGAACAAGCACCATTATTTTGAATTAGTGCATTGTCATCAGATATATTTGAGATTAGACAAACAATGACATGACACAATTAGTTTTATTTTTTAGCTTCTGTTTATTTTTAATTTAGTAATTAAGTTTCCTTTAAAAGCATTATATAGTATCTTAAGCTTTAATTTTAATGCACTAAAAATAGAATAAATTTTAATCAGTTTTTTTAATATTCACTGACAAAATTCAGAATTTAAATCATCTTATTAAAAATCATTACCCAATTCTTTCTGTTATTACTTTTTACATGCTAAAGAGTAAAAAATATAAAGTGAAATATATTAGGAAAACCTTTTTAAGTTACATGTTACATTACTAAAAAGATATATAGTTAAAATGTAAGTTTTTTAATAGTTGAAAATAGTTTTTCACCTATCATAAAATTGTTGGTGTTAAGTAATTAGAAATAAAATCATGAGGCTGCTAACAATGGTGGATTTTAAAATCAAACTTGTCAGAATGAAATTTAAATAAATAGAATTTAATCATTCTTATGTATTTCATTTCTATACTATCTTTTATATTATTCCATTAATTTCTGTTGATATCTTAATGTAGTGTTTCTGTTTGAGATGTACAGTTTTATAGAAACCTACTGTTTTTAGACACACATGACATAGCCAGAAAGCTATTTTTTATTTTTCAATGCATTTAACTGAAAATATGCAACTTATTCTTTTTGAGAATACCTTTACTCTTTTCTTTATAATAGAGATAATGCAGAATCAGTTCTTGTATTGATATTGGCATTATAATGTAGGAATATTTTATTCTCATTATACAGGAAAAGCATTATGAATAAGCAGGTAAAGCATAAAATTTCTGGTACTAAGTTGAATGAATCATCAGAAAACTCACACATAACCACAAGTAAATTCTTTTCATTCAGAATTTATTTTCTACATGCAATGTTCCTCATCATCTAATTAGTTTCTCTCAAAATTTTCTGTAGTTATATTTCTACAAGCACATTCAAAGTGTTCTAATAAATTGGTAACAGTGTGCGCTCTGGAAAATTTAATAACATGACTAAGAAAAGTGTAATACAAAAGATAATTTTATTGCTTAAAATGTCATCATGTTTCGAGTGATGTATTTTCCTTATCAAGTTTCAAGTGATGCTGCATTTTCTTCTCATTTTTGATTGTTTTCTAGTATTATGTGCTTTTCATATTAGATGCCTAGTGAAATTTATTAATGTGTGATTAAAAAGAAAGGTAACTAAGTAATAGCATTTTATTTTCCGTATATTTTAACTTTATAAAAAACTAAATGTAAATAAAAGTATCATTTAAATATATTTTATACTAGTTTAAATTTGTACCATTTGTATAATTAGTTGAATAGTTTTATCATAAAATTACTGTCTAATTTAAAAACTTATATATGTTCATACAATCTGTGATCTGATTTTTAAAATTAGGTAAAATGTTTTGCCATTTTAGATTTATACTGCAATATCAAACAAAGTTGTTGGAATTCTCATGAGAGCTCGTAAGCATGGTCTAGTTCATTTTGAAGGTGAGATGTTATTTCAGAGAAGAGATGATGATGTAATAATCACCCTTTTGAAACCAATCAATGAGATACGTCCTCCAAAAGTTGCACCTAAACGGAAACATGATGAGCAAGAGTCAATGAGCGTTATGTCTCCTGAAGATTATTAGAACTGAAAAACAATTTGTGTGATTTTCTAAATTGTTTTAAACTTTAGGCAGAAATTCTGATATAACAATGAACTTTTTATCTTGCTTTATAATGTACTTTTTGTTTTTATTATATATAGAGCTTAATTAGTAATTATTAAAAAATGCTTATATATAGTTTTTTTTTTGTTGCCTTTGTAATCAGAAGTTAGAGGAATGTGTATTTATAATTAAGTTCAAAGTTATGCTACTGAAAACTATTAATATAGGATTCTTTGGCTGTTCCTGAGAATTTCAAGGATGCTGAGAGTTTTTTTGTGCAGAGGATAAATATAAGACTATTTTTTATGATTATTTACAATGCATCTATGATACTAAATAAGTGAATTATTAATTCAATTGAATCTTCTTTCACAGTTTGAAAATATGATTTTGTATAATTAATTAATGCTGTGATCAGATATTAAATAAGCATCTATCCTTCATTTCTTTATGAAATAATTTTCCCTGCTAAGTGCCTTTTACCATAAGGATTTACTCTTAAGAACTCTTTTTGTCATAATGAATTTAATTTTTATTTAATATTTTCAATTTTATGTATTTAAATTTTCAGCTATCAGTTATATGTGTATTTTATCTCTTGAACTAAATTTCAAGCTTGCTTCTATGTAATAATCTTAACAAGTAAGCTTTATGCTAATTTTGCCATGAAATGTTATTCATAGTTCTGTCTTTTTTTGTTTGAAAAAGTCCAAGTAGGAAAGAAAAGCGTACTGATCTGAACATGATGTCTAGCATCATTAATTTGAAAATGTCTTTAAAATTTCAAAATCACGCAGAATATTTTAAACTGACTGGTATCCATATTCTTGAAAATTAGTAAGACTGCAAGAATTGGATTGAAATTTCATTCGCAGAAGGGGGGAGAAGTTTCATATCCCTGATTTATTTTACAAAATCAGAGTCTGAATCTCAGGTTGTATTTTACTAAGTCATTGTGTGAATTTCACTGTTGAGTGAAAGGAAATCAAGACAGAGGAACATTATATTTTTAATATCCTCAATATTAAGTATATGTAAATTTATAGCTGTGAAATAATTATTAATATAAAATAAATATTTTTGCTGTACATTGTAGTTCAAAGCATGTAAATGATGTACATAGATAAACTTTTATGTCTTCTAATGCATGTATGTAAATATATAATTTCTAAAAATGTAGTTTGCTTTAAGTAGTGAAGAAATTATTCTGTTACCTGAAACAATAATATAAAAATTCTATGTTTAAATTAAATCTGTCTATCAACAGCATTGATATTTCAAGAACATTGAATCAACACTGACGTTTAAAGAGAAAATGTGTAAATATCTCTTCTTTTATAGTTTCAAATATGTGTTAATTTTATTCTTTAGTTTTATTTATTATTTATTGTAAGTTTCTTTTACTTAATATATTATTTATGATTTTTAATTATTTATTGTTATAAATTTAATATTTTCCTGAATACTTTTTTATGTTGTTAATTTTTTGAAAATATTTAAGATATGCTCATATTATTTCTAAAACATTGTTATAATTTATTTGATTATGAATGAATGTAATACTTATGATAATTGCGTTTTCATTTTTATGATAATGAGGATCACATTGTCTCTGGATGTATGACATTTCTATTCACATTTTTTGTCTTATATCCTGCTTAGGGAAAAAAATATCAGCTAGAGTAGATTTAATAATTGTGAAATACCATTCTGTGATAAAACTGCACATAATGTCAAATGTTTAAATAAAATTATAATTAATACAGTACTTGTTTTAATCATATACTTATATATATAAGTTATATATAAGTATATGATTATATTAGTGCATGCTTATATTGGCATTTTAATTACATTTTTTATATCTATTCTATCAGAATATGAGTTAATTATTATTTAAATTTACACTTTTGTTAAATGAATTCTAGTAGATATTTGGCTATGATTTTGAAGTTTGTAATTTAAAATTGCTTCTCATACTAACAGCAGAAATGATATAATATGCTTTAATAATATTTAATAAATGTTTAATAAATATAGGGACTTTTCTTTTTAATAAGTTTTGAAGGCTTGCAACTTTCAGCTGAACACAGTATTTTTAAACAAAAAAGTAATTGCATTATTTCTTTACAAATGTATTAAATATTGCCAATATAATAAATAACAAAAGGCAACAACATATTTCTTATTTATTATAGTATGAAGAGCAGAAGAAATATTCAGTATATTGAGTGTGATACTTCTTTGACGAAATGAAGCAATTCCAATGATGGAACACAGCAATAACTTTTATTTAACACTCAAAAAAATGGCGACATACAAACAAGAAAGAGAAAACATATTCTCACATTTAAAAATAAATTACATTCTTCGTGCGAGAGTCGCACGTGGCACTCGAGTCTGGTTTCGAATATTGCCATTCACAAATAACTTAATGTTCATCTATTTAAATTATTTAAACTACAAGATTTTAATACTATTTAAAGCTGTTACAACCTCTCCCCCAACGGAGAGACTTTTTCCGAAGGGAAAAGTTCTGTAAAATTTGACAGTTTAATAAGCTCGGCTTGCTCATTTGCTTAAAGAGCAAAGGTTATTTCTCTTATAAATTTCTAAATTTCAGGCCAAAAAATTTTAAGTTTTAAAAACATACTTTTACACTACATTTAAAAAGAAAGAAATGGAGAACGTTCAAATACATTAGTTGAGCATACATTAAACAATAAAATTAATTCTAAACGTGGTTACATACACTAAGAGTTACATTACTTAATTCTACTCAGAACATCTACGTTCTTGTGCAAAGATCCTTTGCGATGAATGACCTTAAAATTATAAGGTTGTAATGAGAGTGCCCAGCGCATCAATCTAGAGTTACATTTGGCGTTGGATTGTAGCCAGACCAAAGGATTATGATCAGTTTGAATCAAGAATTCTTGCTGACCATCCAGATAAAAATGCAGTTTCTTGATAGCGTAGATGATAGCAGCGCACTCCTTTTCAGTAGTACAATAATTCTTTTCAAACTTAGTAAATTTTTTGCTTATATACAAGATAGGATGTTCACGTTGTTCATCATCTAATTGGCATAGTACTATACCCATGCCATTGTCTGAGGCATCGGTTTGTATAATAAACCTTTTATCAAAATCGGGAGCATACAGAATTGGTTTCTTGCATAGCAACTCTTTTAAATTTTTAAAAGCTCTGTCACATATTTCAGACCATTGTATATTTCCTTTTTTTGTTACCCCCTTCAAAGCGTCCGTGAGGGGTGAAGCAATTTCCGAAAATCTCGGTATGTACTGGCGATAATACCCTACCCAGTCCTAAGAAAGCACGTACTTCTGTTTTGGTTTTAGGTGTAGGATACTCCTTTACAGCCAGGATCTTTACTTCATCCGGGGTTCGTTGTCCTTGTCCCACAACATGGCCTAGGTATCTCACTTGATCTTGTGCAAATTTACATTTTGATGGTTTTAGTCGTAAATTTGCTTTCTGTATTCTCTCTAGAACAGAAGTTAAGTTTTTAAGGTGCTCTTCCCAGTTTTTTGAGTAAAAATGGCAATGTCATCCAGGTATGGTACAAGCGAAACCTTCGCATCCAGCCAGGACTTTAGTCATAACTTTGCTAAAAAAATATGGGGCATTTTTTAATCCAAAGGGTAAATGGTAGAGGCCTGAAACTTCCAAAACTAGTTACAAATGTTGCATATCTTTGGGCTCTTTCTGTTAACGGAATTTGCCAGTAGCCTCTAGATAAATCTAATAGGGTAATATATTTTGCTTTTGCTACAGTTTCGATACGTTCTTCAATATTAGGCAAAGGATAGTATTCAGTTTTAGTAACAGCATTGAGTTTACGATAATCAATACAAGGCCGAGGATCCTTTGATGAAGATTCTATCAAAATCATGGGAGATGTATAGTCCGATTCTCCCGGCTCTATAATTTTAAGATCGAGCATTTTCTGTATTTTCCCTTTGAGAATTTCAGTCTGTCGGGGTGACAGTCTGTATGGCTTTATTTGTATTGGTTCGTTATTTAATAGCTCAATATCGTGACAAACTAAGTTTGTTAGTCCAGGATTATTTGAAAAACCAACCAGAATATTTCCATAAAATCTTTCGTAAATCTTCTATTTTTGCTCGGATTTCAACCTTTTCTCGAGTTCATTCTCTTCTATGATGTCCGAGAAATTTAATATACTTGGATTGGAAGGTAAACGAGGAATGTCCATTTCTAAGTCTCCTTCCACTTCAGTTATCATATTAATCATTTCTGGTCTTTTTGTAATATGGTTTAAGCATGTTAATGTGATATACTTGATTTGGCTCATTTTGTTCCTCGAAACTTACAATATAATTGGTTTCTGAAATTTTCTGCTCTATTTTTCCCAGGTCCTTTCCACTGTACTTCTAGTTTATTTTGACGATTCGTTGATAAAACAAGAACTAAATCTCCTCTAGCAAATTCTCTTTTCACTGCGTTTCGATCGTACCATGTTTTCCTCCGTTGTTGAGCTTCTTTCATGTTTTCCACGGCAAGTTCCTTGGCATTTCTTCATTCGATTAATAAGTTTGAAAACGTAACTGACAACATTATTACTTTCTTTCAATCGGTTCTAGCCACTGCTCATAAAGTAAAGTGACTGGCGTTCGTAGGTTTTTGCCATGAACTAATTCTGCTGGTGTAAAACCAGTGCTTTCGTGTGTGACTGTTCTGAGAGCAAAAAGAACTGATGGTAGATAATTCTCCCAATCCGAAGTCGCTCCTATACATACGACTCTTAACACCCTTTTTTAGCGTTCTATGGAATCGCTCAACGGGATTACTCTGCGGATGATACACAGAGCTTCTTACATGTTTAATGCCGAAACGCTCCAAAAATTCCTCTGTCAAAGCACTGACGAAAGAGGTCCCCTGATCTGTTTGGAACACTTTTGGGAAACCCCATACGACTGAAAATCTGTAAGAAAGCATCAATCACAGATGGCGAAGAAATGTCTGTCACCGCTACAGCATCTGGATATTTGGACGACATACACAGAGCTGTAATAATATATTTTTTTCCAGTCTTTGAAATAGGTAGCGGACCAACGGCATCGACATTTATTTTAGTGAATATTTCGGAAATTACTGGTACTAATGTCATTGGAGCCTTCTTTTTGTCATTTCCTTTTCCAGCGCGCTGACAAGCATCACAGGTTCTTACAAAATCTTCAGTTTCTTTGTAACACTCGTCCAGTAAAAATATCTAGCAAGTCTGTCTTTGGTCTTTTTGACACCCAAATGACCAGAAGTTCCTTCGTGGCACATCTTTATAATTGACGGCTTGAGTTTTTCAGGTATAACGACAAGCTGTCTTTCAAAGCCCATTTTATCCGTCGTTTTTTTAACTAAAAGTTCTTTTCCTGTCAGACTATAGTTCTCATTTTTGCATGTACCTTCTTTAACTTCTTGGATGATTTTAGACAGTTCCTTATCAGCAAGCTGAAGTTGTGCAATTTCTTCTGAGTCAATTTTACCAGTTTCATGAGAGCTTCATCTTCCGTATTTAGTTCCGGTAAATTATCTTCTTCTTCAAAAACATTCTGGATGCTTTATTTTCTTCCTTCATCGGTTCCAAGAGCTTCTCTTCAGCTATTTCTCTTTTTCCTTTGAGCTCTAGTAGAGACAGAATTAACCTGGTGAGGACAACTATCAGGCTCCTTTCTTTGTTTATTCAACAGTGCAAAAGTTCGATTGCCTAATAAATACCTTCCTTTGTCGAGTTCATTTCTAATAATGGCAGCCTTAGTTATTACTCGCCCAAGATCGCAATTTAGTTCGATCTCAGCCAATGGTAAACAGGTTGGATTCAAGTCTAATGGCTGTGCACCCACACATTTTCACCTGTCAGCATTTCCGGCGTGATGTATTTGCGACAAACTATATCAAACTAGCACCTGAATCCCTTAATATAGGAAATTTTATGACCATTTACGTAACCCATACTAGTATAAGGGTAATAGAAATTTATCCTCTGGTTTTGCACTAATTCTGTTAAGATTAGCAGGAGATTCAGTACTATTCTTAAGTTTTGGACATTGGGGCCTTAAATGTTGATAGGACCCACACTGATAGCATTGTGGCGTCTTTCGTTTTTCATATTTATCATCTGGACGTGGACTTCTAGGTCTATGAAACAAGCTTTGCGTATTAAATCCTGATGACATTTTGTTTTCAGTTTTATTTTTATTATCTGAACTCAATTTAACCTTGAGTTAGTGCATTGTATCTTCTTCTTTCTGCCTATCCACTACAGGCTTTTTTTTAAAGTTTCCGCAAACGTTTTTCATAGGCATCAAGTTTTTCAGCTAATTTTTTAGATGAAATCATCTCTACCCACTCATCAAGAAATGATCTCGAATTTCAGGAGGAACTCGACGCTTAAGTTGGTCAATCACCATCAAATCTAGCAAACTGATCAAAAGTCTTAACTCCTAGACCAGTCACCCATTCCTTGCAATAATTTTCTATTTCATAATTGAAATCCAAATCCACCCATGTGGATTCGGTACTCTTTTGATGTTTCATAAGTTTCTGCCTAAACTTTTCCGGGCTTAGTTTAAACCGTCTTAACAATAAATTCTTTACGTGTTCATAGTCTTTAGCTTTATCGGAGGGTTCTCTAGCTATTAACTGGGTTACTTCGTAAGGAAGTAGTCCTAGTAAATGAGATACAATTCTTCTTTATCATTTTAGCCCATTCTGCTTGCCTTTCAAACATAGCAAATATAGACTGATATCTCCTTTCTTGTCATCGAATTTCTGCATAAGGTGACGCAGCTCCTTTTCGGCCGGATCTGTCCGGTATTTTGAGACTTGTCTCGCTTCAGTCTTAATCTCTCTAATTCATACTGTTCTTTCCTTCTCCCGCCTCTCCGCTTCTTCTGTCTCTACGTTCTTCTCTTCCCTTCCTCCCTCTCTTTCCGTTCTTCTCTTCCCTTTCCTCCCTCTCTTTCCGTTCTTCCCTTTCCTCCCTCACTTTTCCGTTCTTCTATTATTGTGTCTAAGACTCCTTTGACGAATACTTCATCATAATCTCTACTTTCAACATTTCGTTTTAAATCGCTATTTTCAAATCTGCAGTCACATGAACTCCCAGTTCAGCCGCGAGATTTTGCAAATCTTCCTTACGAGTTCTTCCTAAGTAGACATTGTTTCTATGTTT